ATAACGAAATTCAATTCTCAAAGACCAACTCCTATCATGCTGAATAAAGACCTTATAACTACATACATATTCTAGGGGCTTCAAAATAATATCATACCACCACTATTGCATCTAGAACGTCGAAAACCAAATTTGGACTCAATTGGACCTCCCAAGAGCATTTTAGGTCTCGATTACTATAAATGGGTAGGTTTTACGCTATTGTGATATGACACCTAACCAAACCAGTTTCCAATCATGGAGGCTGTGTTTTCACATCTCAGGATGGTTTTCACATCTCGAGATGATCTTCAAGCGTCCACAAGTCACTCGTTTGGAATCGAAACAAGCTCAAATTTGCACACAAGCTAGGTCTGGCATATGGCATGTGCCATGACATTACCCAGAATGAAAGCTTTTCTTGAGAGAAGATAAGACCAAAACCATAAAAATTAGAGCGTTGAAAGAAATACATCTCGAGCTTCTTGAAACGATAACTGGAGATCTGTGTAATGGATCATCGCAAGATCAAGTCCGATGTCACTGTATCACGAAAGGCTACAAACTAGTACAAATTTTGCACTCAATCGAATGTCAAATAAGTGCAAATTCCAAGGTTGAAGATGGCAAGGTTTTCTCAGTCCCCGAAATCCCATTTTTTGGTTACCGCTCTAATTGAAAAATACTTAAAGCAAAAACCAAATCGGAAAAAACTTGGTGCAAAGTGATTGTGACAGTCTCCCCTTTAATTTGCAATCAAAATAAAGACTCGGAACACCATGGATCGCATTTCATTGTCGACCAAAATTCACAACCTAACCGGATTTTTACCCCTTGGGAAAAGTCTATCTCAAGATGATAAAAGAACATCAAACTCTTCAGAATCAAGTAAGCATCAAGACTACGACGATGGATCATCTAAACCACCACCACAAGCATCCGAGAAAGCTCCTAAGATCTGGCAATGGTGAAAGGCCCATCTAAAAGGGATATTTTCGTCATTAACACAAAAGTTTTAAGGGGCATTATGGTCATAATTATTAAATTAGGGATTTTATTGTAATCAAATTTGGCTTAGTTTTGAGCATCCACCTCTGTTTGATGGGTCCTCTACATAAAAAAACTTAGCTCAATTCTAAAAGGACGGGATCATTGATTAATGAAATCGGGGCATTAAGCTTGTTTCCACTTTTCTTTTGCTTCTAACCCTTGGATCAAGTGGTGAGGAGAAAGAAAAATTTCAAAGAGAGAAACTACCCCTAGCCCACGCTAGGCCATGCCTCAATTCCCACTCTCTCTCTCCTCTCACTTCTTTCTCTTTCTTCTTCTCTCTATCCACACGTTGCTTGCCTCGCCTAGTAACCTAGAGGCACGATAAATGCACAGCCTCGTCTCTTCCCCTTTCTCTCTCTCATCCTCGTCGTGTTGTGGGACTCGAAGTCGTGAAACCTGCAGTCCCGTCTCTCTTTGCGATCTTCCTCTTTATGCTTCGAGCGCAAACACAACAAACTTACAGCTCCATATAGCATCCCACTATCCGTCATACTCTCAATTCGATACCCTTCAAAGTCATCCCAAGAGTTCTAACCCTCGACACATCGCTCTAACTTTCTCTCTGTACAGTCGAGTTGAGCCACGAGAAATACATATGTTCTCTCCCTCACTCACTCGGGTGGAGTCTTCCTGAGTCTTTAGTCGAGAGGGTTCCAACTCTTCAGTTGCTTTAATCGCCTGAGCACATAACGCGGAGAAGTGGATTCTTGTTAGTATTCCTCCCCTCGTTCTTTCTTTTATCAGCCAACCCCTGTCAGAGTGAACCATTATAGAGGAATATCTTTGAATTCACATTGCATTTTCCAGCATAAGAGAACAGGGTGACATGTAAAAGCCTGAGGAGAGTTCGTGTCCAAACCGCATTGGTAGACAGCCGAAGGGCTTCGTAACTGTTCTAAGAGAGTGAACTGCCCGGGCGTGTCCCTGAACCCCCAAACGATAAGGTAGGCACTTAAAAGCACCCATGCCGTAAAACCTTTCTTATTGTTGGTTCCTATCCACACAAAGGAGAGCACAAGAGCGTACACCAAGAAATGTGCAGCACCCGCAGATCCTCCGTGATTGTTTGAGAGAGGATTTTCTCCCGCCGTCCACGCAAGGAAAAATCAGGCCCCGACCACTATGGTACCATATAAAATAGAGCCATCCGTGGTGACTGAGATACAACGAGTATGGTAGTGATGCTAGCGCTAATGGTAGTGTCGCCAAGACTAAAACCTACTGAGAACAACAAACAGTCCTGGCTCTGGCGCCAATGCAAATTGCATCAACATCAACGATAATGTCACCTAAGGAGTACTTTGTCACTTTGGACAGACTGAAGAAAGAACATAACAGGGAAGAAGGGACCGACAACAGTGTCAATGGTGGCAAGCCTCTTGGCACTATCCTTGGCCTAAATGTACCCTGAACTTGAAACATAAACCAAAAAGACCCTAAAAAGCCAGTAGCATTTTTAGAGTCGCAGAGGCCCGACGCCACTGGCAATGGTGTCAACGACACTACCAATGGCTAACTGTATTTTGAGATTTCAGGGAACGCATGAATGGTATTAAGACAAAAAGACGCTATTGGAGATAGCGTTAACACGATTTTCAGTGAGTTTTCATGTTCCAGACTCCAAAACAAGTGAAAAGAGGCTTGGAATGAACCGAGACGAACTCCAGGTTGATGGTGACCCTTTGAGATGAAGCCCAGAGGACTACTTCAATGGTTAGGGTGTAAAGGAAGCTTGACAATGGTGGGCACCAAACTGTTTATGCTCAAAAATGTAGGCAAGGAACTCGGTTCGCACCTTGGATTTGGGCATAAATTCATCAAAGGGGTTGAAAGAGAAAGGTCCCATCAAATTGCATTATGGGTGAGAGTCGGGCTATAAGAACTTATCATGTTCAGATCGTCGGCCGAGCCAGCTTCCCACACACCTTAACCTTGGCTTTCGAGAGAAGTTTTTGAAGTATTTAATGAAAAGAGGGGGAATTTTTTATAGGGTTTTACAAATCAAAGAAAGTTAATAAATACACACAAAGAAACTAAAGAAAGTTTATAAACACCATAAATGAAACCAAAATAATAACGAAAATGATTGCACGACAATAATTGTATGGTCCAGAGACGATAATTGCATAGCAAGTCCCGGTCCTTTGGATTTTACCGGTCAAAGCTGTGGGTGAGGTGTCAAAGGCCCAACGACATTGGCAGTGTCATTGGAGACATTCAGAACCACTTTCTGATACAGATTGCCACGTGTCACCTTCTCGACATTCTTCCATACAACTGACTGACCAATTAGATTTCGACGCAATTCTGACAGTCGTTGGCGCCATTCTTAGTGTCGTCGGTGTTAGTTGATAGTTTGGACACCATTGTATGATTGACGGCTTATGTGACATTTCATTCGATGAATTCGAGAGTGACACGACCTTCTGTAATGACACCTAGCATGTTAGTCCTTGTCGACATGTGTCAGTATAGGACACAGGTCCGTACCTTCAGGTTGTATTCATCTTTGACTAGCATATACATCATGCTACTGTCAGTGGCGCTGGCGCCACTGGCAATAGCGTCGGGCTTTTTTCCCACTGTTTGCTTCGCATGTCACCGTGTCGGCCTAGAGTGTCCAGGTTGTTTCTCTTGTGTCGGCACTGAGAGTGGCGTTGGTCCCATTGGCAATGGAGTTGGAGCTATCTGCTCCCGGACCGCTTACAATTTAAAAATCTTGGGTTCTGATATGCCTTGCTAGTTCTTCAGGGGCATTCTTTAGCGCTCCGAGCTCTACCATGTGATTTGACTACAATGGGGAAGGCTTATGGTTAGATCAGGAGGGGGTGTGAATGGTTCTAGTTCCTTGTAGCTTGCCTAGGGTATTTTGGTCTTCTACAGGTTCCTCTATCGGGATCAGGGTGTGTACATTTATCTTGCAATACTTTTTTTGGACCTTGCCTTTTAAGCCTTTAAATATCCTCTACACTAATGTTTTTTGCATTTTAAGCCTTCATAAATCCTCTATATATCGAGTATTTTTTGAGCTTCAAATCTCACAGGCATGTGTGGAAATAAATTTACAGGCCATCGGTAACTTCTCCAACACCACAATTCCATCTTTCAGTAGGCATTAGGTCTGACCTTTACCAAGTTTTATCAAGCCAAGGCTTAGGTCTGACCTTTACCAAGTTTTATCAAGCCAAGGCTTGACTAAAACCACAGCCGTAGTTAAGAAAGTGTAGATTATAATCGGATATAATACAATTCTAGCCAGTGTTCGCAAACTAGGCTGGTGCAACTCGAAACCGGCCGGTCAAACTGGAACCGACCACGGGCCAATTGGGTTTTCGCTAGTTTTAGTGGTCTAGCTAGGTATTTTAAGAAAAATTCAAAAGCAATATATAAAATCTCAAAAAATAAGAGTTTTGTTTGTAATTCATCTTTGAATGTTTTGTTATCATTTAGGCAAAGATTGGAAAGTGTTTTGGCCATGAATACTTATTTTTACATTTTTTTCTTTTTTTGAAAAATTACAAAAATATTCGTAAGAAAAAATCGATTTTCTGAAATCCATTTTTTTCACTATTTTTCAACTTTATTTGGATGTGCTTTATCTAATTATGTTTTAAATAAACTTTTTGTACTTTTTTAGATTTTTTATATTTTTCTATTTTTTAACACTTTTTTGGACGGCTGAGACTTGCATGGTTAGGCTGTTTGAACGTGCCGATTTTTCAGTTACTCGGATCTAGCCCTCGGCCGGTTTCCGAGGCCGGCTCGATTTTTCTAGCACCGGTCCAAATCCACCACGAGAAAGTGGAGGAATATAATCTTCCGTCTTAAAGATATGATTGTCTTTTAGGCCCACCAATATGAGTGTGTAAAACTATTTTTTAGTCCAGCCGATGCGTTAGTTACCTAATATCCCAATGCTCTGCCTTCCCATTATTTCAGTTCTTATAAATAAGGGAGTTCCAGTCCAGAACGTCCCCACGAGTTCTTAACTTCTAATTTAAGAGAGAGAGAGAGAGAGAGAGAGATGAAGGATTGGTGCCCTTACATGATGATGATGGTCCTACAGCTGGGGCTTGGGACGGGAGATATTGTAAGCAAAGGCGCGTTGGAGGGAGGCATGAGCTACCATGTATTTGTTGTGTATAGACACGCTGTGACCACACTCATTCTCTCTCCCTTGGCTTTCTTCCTAGAAAGGTACTACTCTTCTTTCCAACTTCATACACTTACTGTCACACTCCCACACAGTGTCGTTCCCAAGTGTAATGCGTCCTTGTGATTTTTCGGAGTTGCCACTTCGTAGAGTCTTATGTAGGAACTAGTGATTTAAAAAATGGTTTGGTGACTAGGATCGAGCATCGTAAAAACCAATTCGGAACCGGTGGTCCGAATCACTGTTTTACTATAGAAAAATAGATAACCAGCAAAAAAATACATGCAAAAATAGTGAACCAGTCTAGATCGGTGAGTCATGTTTTGATTGTAGTAAAAATACCATTTTATTGTAACAAAACTCTGTTTTACTGTCGCAAATCGCCGGTTCTCATCTAGACTGAGACGATTTCTTATATATTGACAGAATCAGCTCGGGATGTCCGATTCTTGATGCGTTTATTAAATCGCTGCTAGAAATTGTTTGGTAGTCTATACTTAGCGACGGTGATTCGGATTGCTCTTTCCAAAAATCAGTCCGAATCGGTGGATCGGTGTCTCGAATAGTGGATCGGCCGAAGCAGCCCTACATAGCTATAGAAAAATTTCAAAAAAGTATAAAAAAACATTATAAATATTGTCTTTTAGGTTTCCAAGAGAACATGAGAATCGAGCAACATAAACTTTCATTATTTTATAAAAATATATAAATATTGATACAACTTTCTCTAAGTGTCTATTGATATTAATATTTGTGTTTGAATTATAGGCTTAAACGTAAATTTATGCATATCTTTTAGTGGCACAAGAGCTAAGGATAATCATTCAATGATAAAGATCGAGTGAAGCGCCCGAAGTGCACCCAAAAAAACTTTGCACAAGCTAGACTTGGTGTGGGTAATGTTTTTAGAGCACGTTTCTATGCGGCTAGTGCGCATATTATAAAAATGCAGTGTTGTCAATAAATATATTTTTAAATATAATTTTATTTTGATTTTTAAAGAATATATAATCTTTAACATAAAGATCATGAATATGAAAAAAAATATTTCAAAATTAAAAATAATAATTATATAAAAAAATATTTTGACCATTAGTTGCATTTATTTTTAGATGGACTACCTATTTGATGAATTCTTTATACCAACCGCATATTGTAGAAATATGAAACAATTTTGCGTGTTTTCTAAAACATAGAGAGTGAGGGGGGAGGGGGAAGATAAGATGTGGATAACTTTGCACCCTACAAGTCTGTTTCCCCTTAATTTCTTATAATATTTTTAGATAAAAAAGAAGAGATATTGCCTTATGTTAAATTATTTTTGAAAAAAATTTACCGTGTATGCTTTTACACGTGGAAAGAGGCCTCACACGTTCGCGGTGGGGCTAATGGGCAGCTTAAACAATCATTCATGTGACGCCCAATCACTAATTGCCCGTACACCCAAAAACTCAGGGTGGGCCACGTTGCACGTATTAAATAAAACAAAAAAAAAATACCTTCTTTCATCGAACTTTTTAAAAAGCCATGCACACAAACGAACCACCACTATCGTTTTCTGCCCATATCTTCTATAGAGTCGCACTATCAGGAGACCGCCACATGTTTTTTGCCACCTGTAAGAGAGCGCTTTAAGAGAACAATTTTAAAATACCCTTCTTTGAAGTTATCATCAAGCTTTTAGAAAGCCATGCGCACAACCACCGCTCCTGTCGGTGATATGTGGATGGTTTTTATATACTCCTTATCGAATGCTAAATCCCTCATGTGGGATCTTTTTTCTTTTTGCTTCGATTTGCTTCTTGGCAATGCTGAATAGCTCTCTCTCTCTCTCTCTCTTTCAATCATATGATTTAGAAGTGTTTCTCTCTCTCTCTCCAATCAGTTTTTGTAAATTTTGAAAAATGAAAAGTGATAGGTTCCAATATTCTTTTTAGGAACAAACATAACTCTACTCATTTCTAATATGGATTGGGCTAGTCTAATTTGGATTGGCATTTTTTAAAAGCCTGCTACTTGGTATATGTACTCATGCTGCATTGTAGCTTACGCCCCTTATGCACGATAGAGAGAGTACGCCTTATTCTTGTTAAACTTATCCAGCAACTTTTCTTATATATAAATATATATCCAGCAACTTTGGCACAACGAGAACATTTTGCTTCTCTATAAGGTGGTAGACAATAGCTCTCTCAAAATCCTATGTCATGGCCAAAAATCTTTTTTTTTTTTGCCTCATATTATGAAATATAAAACCATAAAAATTGTGCAAATTTTGTGAATAGATAAAATTTTAAAATAGAAGGTTCAGATAATATATTACAAGATAAATTATTATAACAAAAAAAAAATTCATATTTTCAATGCATAAAATCTATGTATGCATATGCATCGAATTGAACATATGTGTAATTTCCTTAGTGCATGGGGTAAATACCCCATCCTAATGCTTGAATTAAAGGGTAAAAAAGTCGTTATTGCGTTATGCATAATGGATGTGTAACAAGACAATATGGTAAATGTTGGGTGCACTACGTGTAGACCGTATATGGCCGATCAACTATCTTGATCAACTTAACTGCTATTCCACCGTCTAACTTGTCATTTTTAGGGTAAGAAATTTAAGTTTGGGCGTCTACAGCGTGTTCTCGTGGGAGCACACTACATATTTACTCCCTCTATGAAAAGAATTGCGGATAAGGATTTCTTCCATCTCAAACATTGAGATCCACTTTAGAATCATTAGGAAACCCATCCTAAACTATCGCAAACATATTTTTGCATTGCATTGACGAATTCTTCTATCAAAACATTGCGCAAATCTGATGATTTGGTAAGAATTGAAATGAATGATCCCCACTAAAAATTTGAAATTAGACAATTTTAAAAGTTTTGACTTTAATTTATTTTTTTGGATTCATGATTTGATGGTCGAAATTGATACGTGAAAGCTTTGATCTCCTGTCTAAACTGAATGAGTAGCGGCCGCCTAAGAATAGCATCAAATTATGCTTCCAAATCTACCCATAATCTTTGTGCTTTAAGTTTTGGGTGGCGCCAACCTTGAAAAATCGAAATGAGATGCACTTCCAAACCATGCCAAAAGCTGCCCATAATCTTTTTGCTTTAAGTCTTGGGTGGCGCCGACCTTAAAAAATCGAAGTGAGAAGCACTTCCAAACCGTGCCAAAAGCTGCATTTTTATTGTCGGAAATCCGGCATGAAAAATCTATTTTTAAACCATGTTAAAAAACTTTTAAAGTTTCAAAAAAAAGTTCAGATTGAGCAGATCCATTATCATGATCGTCATCTTAGCCTTATCCCAAGTTCAATTTTTTTATTTTTTTTTAATATGCACATATATCGTCGTCGATATACTCAATTAGAATGCTTTCCCATGACGCATCAACCACTTGTAGGGATTTTTCAGGTGTTACTTCTACAGTATGGGCTGGACTATATGTGAGTTAAACAACTCCTCTCCACTGTAATGGTGAATGACAGAGTACACATAAAACTTGTGCGAATTGGCTTATGGATTTGGTTTATGTTCTCATTCAGGTGTACGAATTGGGTGCATGTCTAGTAGACAACATGATAGAAAACTATTGGTGGGATATCATGTGTGTGTGTTTTAACTTTTGTAGGTCAGTGGAGGATTTTTTTTTAACCTAAAATGAAAAGAAAAAGAAGCACTAGAAAAAGAAGGGTGAAAGCAAATTATAAAACTTATGTAAGCACTTTCCGGTGAGGTTTGCCAATGTTAAACAATCAAATCAAACCTTAAACAATTAAAGCCAGGAGATTCTCCAAATTTTATCTCCAAATTTTTTTAAAATGGCTTGAGAACCAATTTTTATCTGTAATTATAATTTTTTGCTTCCTTGCAATTATGGCCTCCAAGCAGTTTATCTAACAATAAATCACATTTGAAAGATGTTTTGATAGAGCAGCCCTATCAAAATAAGTAAAGTTTCAGCTTAAAACTCATTGAAATTTGCAGCTCTGCCATTGAAAATTGTCAAATCAAGCATCTCATACTTGATCACTATGATTATGAAAATAATTAGGATTTGAGGCCCTAAAACTAATGTACATCGTAACACATTATCTAGATCATCTATTTTTATTTTAAAAATAAGTTCACATCTGCAAGATTAGATCCGCACATTTTTTTAGCTTCAATTTTCACAATCAGTATTGGAAATTATTTTTAGAGCTATCATTTAGATATTTTATGCCCAAAGTATTTTTCGAACGTCAATTCAAGGTGGGCCTTTGCTTTGTTTTCATAAAGCCTCGGTCTTTTAGAGCTTGCATCCATTACATTTTTACTTATTTAAATCAATGCTTCAAAAATATGTCAATAGGACAAAAAAGGAACCCCTATATTCCTATTTTATTTTCTACAAAACGTAAGAAATTTTGTAAGTTATTAATTTGGGAAACTTATATACAAACCAAAAATAATTTTTGAAACTATCATTTTATGGTAAGGTCCAAAATGTTTATGCGCTTTCATCCTCATTTTACCACTAGTTCGAAAGTACAACTTTTGAAGCACCTTATAAAAAAGACAGTGTTTGCGGAGCTTAAAAATTACAGTCCTTTCTAATTTTTGTGTCTTGACAAATTTGAAGTTTTTTTGTTGGGTTTGTATATAATGACACCATCTATCTTTAGTACAAGGAGGGCACAATTAATTATGGCTATCTTATGTGAAATCTGATAGCTTGAGTGTACCATAAAGTTCAAAAAAATTTATTTTGAATTATGAGCTTGGTCAATGAAATAAATGCAACTACCCAATTTCACATAAGATGCTCATAAGTAATTATGTTCTTTTGTTTTCTATTTTGGCTGCTTTGAAAGTCCGACTTTTGGACCTTTGGGAGATTATATGTTTAAGTAGTTCAAAAGTTGAACTTTTTATTCCGAGGTAAAATTAAAATAAAAAATGTAAAAATTTTGGACCTTTCCGTAAAAAGTCCAAAATTATGGATCACCTTTTAATTTCAAACTTTATCTTCGGTGCACAAGTAAAT